CTCTCTCTCTCTCTCACACACACACACGCACACACACACGCACACACACATCCTCATTTACATGGGAATGTTTGGTATATGTACATGAAACATATTCTATTTTCAATTTTCTCCGTGTTGTTTGATAACCTACTTTGTCCTGTTGGGGTGGTATATCTTGGACTTTTTCTATATTTTCTATATGTTGAAATGCTTAACTTACATAATTATTTTGGTTTCTCCAGCATGTGCTTAATTTTTAGAATATATGGTGATTATTAAGTGGTCGCAAGATTTTTCATTGTTCTAATGTTAACTTTAAAGTGAATAAATTAAATGGATTTACTAGTCCATTTGTTTTTCTTCTTTTCTTTAGTGTTACATTTATCAATAGTTTTTGGTATTCAAATTGTTCTTTAAGGGCCAATATTAAAGTATGTGATTGCCGTGTTGGTACGGCTTTTTGTTTCATTTATCGAGAACTCTGATTTTCCTGCGTAATTCTTTTTAACCTGGCTTCAGAGCACCATGGATTTGATTCTCAGAGTAGAATTGTGCTAGAGCATTAATAAATTATAACTCAAGTGCTAGAAGCTACCTAATTTTATAATGAAAATTTACACAAACTCTCTCTCTCTCTCACACACACACACACTCACACACACATACGCGCGCGCACACACCCACACATCCTCATTTAGATGGGAATGTTTGGTATATGTACATGAAACATATTCGATTTTCAATTTTCTCCGTGTTGCTTGATAACCTGCTTTGTCCTGTTGGGATGGTATATCTTGGACTTTTTCTCAAATTTCTATATGTTGAAATGCTTAACTTACACAATTATTTTGGTTTCTCCAGCATGTGCTTAATTTTTAGAATATATGGTGATTATTAAGTGGTCGCAAGATTTTTCATTGTTCTAATGTTAACTTCAAAGTGAATAAATTAAATGGATTTACTAGTCCATTTGTTTTTCTTCTTTTCTTTAGTGTTACATTTATCAATAGTATCTGGTTTTCAAATTGGTCTTTAAGAAAAGATCGCGTCAAAGCGCGATTGAAGTTGTTGGAGAATGAATTTGATTTATGCATGCTTTAAAATAAATCTCCTTTATGTAAAGTTCACAACGCGATCCATAGATGAATAAAATCAGCTAATTACGCAAAGTAAGCCTATGTCAAAAGAAGTATCAGTCAATCAATCAAATTAACTATGAAAATGATTTTAATTGATAATCAGCTTGGTCAATTCCCGTAATCTCCTTAATTTACTGTATCAACTAATCTTGAACTCAAATTACATTTTCTTAATGATATTTTTGAGTATGCATATTATTACCAACTGGATTGTGTATAAATACTCATGTAGTGGTTTGTTGAGTTCCGTATGAAAATATATGACATTATAATAGGACCCTGTATATTAGTGTGGGTGCTGCTGCAGCTTATAACCATATTAAGACGGACAATCAGCATTTATGATGTTGCATCAGTATAATACAAAAAGTCCTTTGACATTTAAAGTTCTTGATTAACATGTATCCATTGAATTTATTTTCATATGTATCATTTTGGATGAATTTTGATGATTTCTCATGGCCGGGACATTTTTAAATTTAATGCTGCCAAGGATACTCTATGCTCCAGTCGATATATTTTTTATTTTTTATTTTCTGTGCAACTCTGGCAGTGTTGTGAATGTATCTCTCTTTCTCCCCCCACCCCACTCTCCCTCTCTCTCTCTCTCTCTGTATTTTCTGTGAACACAAATTTCCTATTTTTACTCTTTCCTTAAGAAAAGGTTTCCACTGTGTTGCATATTTCTCTTTGTTTGGCATTAATATAAAATTATATGTCTACATTCTCGCCTCAACTTGGTCTTAATTAAAGGATTATGTTATTACAACCTGAAAATTTCCATGTTTTGCATATTTATCTCCCCTTTCACATTTTACAATTTCATTCATTAACTTCTCTAATATTACATAGTAGCCTGAGGTTGTTTCCCTACATTTTAACAATTACATCCTTCAACTTGTCTAAATATCACGTATGTGCAACATTAAGAAAACTGGATATGCTGTGACATGCATAGCCAATGGATATAATTGCTAAAACTTACAGGTGACTAAATAGTATCACTTGCATTAATTTCTGTGTAGCTTCGTGAACTTGAAAGGGGAGTTGACATTCTTGTGGCGACTCCCGGAAGATTGGTTGACTTGCTTGAGAGAGCCAAGGTCTCCTTACAAATGATAAGATATTTGGCACTTGACGAGGCTGATAGAATGCTTGATATGGGTTTTGAGCCTCAAATCAGAAAGATAGTTGAACAAATGGATATGCCACCTCGTGGGGAGAGACAGACGATGCTATTTAGTGCCACCTTCCCAAAAGAAATCCAGGTATTTGTTATTTTTATCTAGTTTACTTGGAGAAAAGAAAGGAAAAATGGTTGGTGGAATCAGTTCTTGTCGTCTTTGGTTCTATGCGGTTCTTTATACATGACATTTTCAAATATATCCCTTTCGATGTTTGAATTGAGTGGCCACGAATTTCTTATTGTCTAATTTGACTTTTAACAAAATAGTGATGAGGTAAAAAATTTCTGAATGTAAAATGGAGCAGGAAGCTCCATGACTTAGAGAGTAAACGGGTATAACCATTTTTTAAACTAGATCAGCATGGCTATATCCATTTGATGCTCTGCTGTGACAGTGAAGAATCCTATTTAATTGCTGATTTTTAATTTTTATTTGGGCTTGCAGAGAATGGCATCAGACTTTCTTTCAAATTACATATTTTTGGCAGTCGGAAGGGTTGGTTCCAGTACAGATTTAATTATTCAGAGAGTGGAATACGTTCAGGAAGGTGACAAGAGAAGCTATTTGATGGATCTTCTTCATGCTCAGAGGGCAAATGGAACTCAGGGGAAGGTATGTTGATGTGATGGTGAATCATACAGAATATAAACTTGATCTTTTGCTCTTACTGTAAACTCCGAGTGATTAAATTGTAACCTTTTATTAATTATTATTGTTAAGTTGAATAGGTTTTCCATGTGAATTGGTTCTTAGAAGATTTTAGAGTGATGAATTTATATACGGCTGTCGATCATGGTTGTGTTAGTTGCTCTAGGACTCTAGACATTTTATAGCATGTCATAACCTTTCTAGTTAAGTTGGCTCATTTATCTATTGCCGGGATCTTGAGTTATTTTTGTCGTTAATATGTGAAGCTTCTCTTATTTGTTTAATGGTTTTCTCATTCTGGCAAACTCTTTTGCTTTATAGATGCTTGTTTATGCTCAACTACATACCCATTTTCTGCTTTTTTTTTTCCCCTTCATTATTTGGCAGCAAGCTCTTACTCTAGTATTTGTGGAGACAAAGAAAGGAGCTGATTCGTTAGAACACTGGTTATACCTCAATGGTTTTCCTGCTACTACTATACACGGGGACAGATCTCAACAGGTAAAGAATGCAACAAAATGAAGTATATTTCCAAACATATTTTCGCAGTCATGTTTTGTGACATACATCACAAATGGGTTTAGCGGGTGTATATTTTAGCTTGGAGATAGTTTTGCACTTTGAATTTGCATTACATAAAGCAGCCGATAAAAATACTAGGATGCAATAGATGCTATCAGACAAGGAACCTATTTCTTATTTGTCCATTGCAAATGGAGCTGGAAGAGTCATTGCTGACAATTCTCCTGGCATAGTGCTAATAATGGACTAGATCAAAATGGCTCAATTAAATTCTAGTGCTTCTTCTATTAGTGAAGTTTCTAGAAAAAAAAAAAAAATATATCAAACGGCGCAATGCACCTTGGGTCGCTACGGAAACAACCTCCTTGTATAATTACAAGGGTAAGGTCTGCGTACAACTGACCCCCCAGACCCCAACCTGTTGGGAATATACTGGGTATGTTGTTGTTGTATTTTATTAGGGCACCACACCACTATGAAAAACATCATTTTGCAGACTTGAGTTGAGATTGTGTATTTGTTAAGAGTAAACCTCTATGACTAATTGCTATCAATTTTCTCAAATTCCCTTTGATCTGTACAGGAAAGAGAGCTGGCTCTAAGATCTTTCAAGAGTGGAAAAACGCCGATATTGGTCGCGACTGATGTGGCAGCCCGCGGGCTCGACATCCCGCACGTGGCCCACGTCATCAACTTTGACCTCCCCAACGATATCGACGATTACGTGCACCGGATCGGACGTACGGGCCGGGCTGGAAAAACGGGCCTGGCCACGGCTTTTTTCAACGAGAACAACATGTCTTTGGCAAAGCCGTTAGCGGAACTGATGAAGGAAGCAAACCAAGAGGTGCCCGACTGGCTGACCCGTTTTGCGAGCCGATCGTCTTACGGAGGCAAAAGCAGGCGTGGAGGAGGAAGATTTGGTGGCCGTGACTTTAGAAGGGACTCGTCCTACGGTAAAGGCGGTGGTGGAGATTACTATGGAGGTTATGGCGGTGGATATAATAATAATAATAATAATAATAACTCGGGGGCGACAAGTGCTTGGGATTAGCACATCACTGTGAAATGCCAAAGTATATGTACACACATTTTTCATGAAAACCTGACGATGATGATGATGATGATGTTTGATGTTGGTAACTTTTGTTCTATCGTATCGGTTGGAAAAAATATACTATTTATCGGACGATTTTAGTTCCAGAATACTCTTTAACTTTGTGTAGTCTATAGTCCCCAAGTGGGGATTACGGGAGAGAAGTTTTGGTAGAGAACATAGTGCAAAGTTATGGGATGTGGCCACATTGATTATAGGGTGGTTGGGTTTATTTGACTTCCTTTTGTTGAAGACATTTTTGTTTTTGGTTTTGGTTTTGGTTTTGTGTTGTTTGTATCAACTCTTCTCTTTTCTCTTGCAATTTTAGCAGTTTCCCAACAGTTATGGCCGGAAGGTCTGAAAACTGACCGGATTGCTGATGTGGCGGCCGCTGCTGCTGCCGCCACCACCCCTACTTTCTTTGAATATGAAAGTCAAATCTGGAGCAGAAGTACAAATTTAATGAGAAATCATTTGTATTGAAGGTAACCCTTGAACCAACAAAAAATAGAAAAAAAAATGGGCAACATATTTTTTCAGGTTAATTTAGCAGGAACACAAACCTTACAACACCATTTATCCCCAAAATACAAAAATGCATCACATTCCTAATCTCCACACACACACTCATCGCCGCTAATCCTCATCCGAACCATAATCACTCTCCGAATCACAGAACTCATCGCCCATCTCGATTTCTTCCTCATCACTCTCATCTTCCTCCACTTCATCACCCGCATTACTCAAATTAGGCATCATATCCGCCGCTTTATTTCGAAAAACCAAACCTGTCCTCATAACATAGTAGAGTTTATCCCTGTAACGGGCGAGAGGGTCTGGATCCACCAGCCTTCCCCTTTGGTAACCCTCTCTTAGGGCCACAGTCGTCGTTTTGCACTTCAACGAGAGGTAAAAAATCCCAGGGTACCTCGTGAAAATCCGGGTGAACTTGTGAGGGAGGTTAAATTCTTCCCTCAGGCACCTCAAGTAATTCCTTTTCGTCTTCTTATGAATGGTCAAGCCGAGAAACTCGTGCAGAAGTCCAACGACCCTTTTCTCCATGAGGTCGCTATCCGGGTCGATGCCCCTCGAGTCCTCATAAGGCGAGATGTAGGGAAGCTTCTGGAACTCATCCATCCATGCCTTGACCTTCTTTTGAGCACCGTAGCCTCTCGGGAAGCTCATGGGGAACTGCAGAGCGGCTTTTCCTCTCTTGAAGTCACGGTACCCGGTCATGATGTCACTGCTGGCATCGTGGTCCCCACCAATGTTTTTCTCATTCATTTTCTGCAGGTTGGAGATGGAAAATTCCTCACGCCATTGGACAAGCTTCAGGCAAGTCGAGCCGCTTGTGCCCTTGACCAGCCTGAAATGATCAGGATACTTTTTGGTAAGGCCTCTGTCGAAATCATCGGGCAGTCCCAAGTCCCATTTCAGATGATGCAGAGATTGCAGAGGTAGCTGCACAAATGTGAAGGAAAGAAGAAATCACTCTCACCACAACTCCCAGAAAACCAAAGCCGTCAAATAAGAGAAGCAAAATGGTTACGTATCATTATGTGACTTGGGCACGAATTCATTAATTACTTCAACAAAACAACTACAATCTATCAAAACAACAAAACTAACTTCATCACATAGAAGATCTCAGCAGCGACAACAATCCATGAACATCTAGCTTCCAGAGTTCACACATCAACTGCCATACATGCTCGGTTTTTTTGCAGCACAGACCAATATAGCCATTTTCAGATTAATAGCAGACTTCTGTGCTATTTACAGAAAAATACATCATTGGCCCGTACAGCGGGCCGCATTATCTCAAACTCGTTTGCCAAGTACTCAATCCTATGCAGATACTTAAGTTATTCTCGCTGTTCTCTTCCACATTTATACACTAACTAAACAAGAAAGTTCGAAGCTTTTTTCCAATCATATGTACGAAAATTCAAAAACCAAACATTCCATATCTATACTGAGAAGACTAATGGCTTGTAACACGCACGCGAGCACACACACACACACACACGCTCATATTACCATCTTATTTGTCGTCATCATCAGAACCCTGCAAAGCCTCTCCACGGTATCACCCTCACACTGCTCAAACACTCTCATTTCCATCTCCTGCAACGTCTTCCCCAGCTGGGTCAACCTAAAGCAGGCCAAAGAGGGGAATTTCGGGTGGGCGTACTCCTCGAACAGCGAAGGGTACCTCCGGATGAAGCGCATCGTCGGGACGGTGAGACCCAGCAGCTTCTGAGAATCGAGAAGCGATTTCGAGGTCAAGTAGCCCGTGGGAGAGCGGATTATGGCGTCCTTTATCAGGCACGCGGCCTTGATGTCGGTGTGGACGTTGATGATGTGGTCGAGCGAGCGGTTTCTCACCCATTTGAGCCGGACTTTGGCTATCGACCGCCATTGATGAAGATTGTGAGGTAGGGATTTGGTGACTGAATCGAGGAGCTTCAGTTTGGAATTCATCGGCGGCGTCTTATATGGTTTGCAGTGGGCGGCTGCGCGCACGGCGATGTGGAGAAGAAGAAGAAAGTTGAAATGACGTCGTTTGAGGTTTGGGCCTCATTTGGGGAACTGACTCGTATAAGGCCCGTTACATAGAGCTTGCTCAACAAATGGGCTGAGGTCCAACTTAAAATAAAGTTTTTTATTTTTTTTTTTCAATGGGCTGAGCTCCAGTTATGTTTGAGCTCGTAATTCGGCTCCTAAGTAGGTGTTGGTAGAGGTGGCAATGACTGACACGACACAAAAAACAAACACGTCACATTACAATTATAAAATAGATAAATGACACGATAGACATGCCATGACCCAAAATGCGATACAAAAGACACGATACATAGACAAATGACAAGATTTATTGATGGAATTATTTTGCTCAATTGCTAGAAGTGTAGATGGGCAGCTTGGTGAACTTTGAGCTCTTTAGAGCAATTTTTCTGCTAGCACTTAGGAGTTCCATTTGGTGTTTAATTTAATATGATGCTCTAGTTTTTGTTGTTTTTGATGTTGAAACGATCTGACGGAATGAGATATCAAATATGAAATTAAGTGAAAAACAATTGTTTAAGTGTATTACAAGGAAAGAATAATAAGTTAAAAGAAAAGAAGTACCATATCATATGAAATTAGGATTAAAAAGAAAAAAAAGGAAAATGAAAAACCATGTGATATGATTAATTTGCTGTATGTGGTTCAATTGGCATTTTCCTATATAGTGGCCAATTATGGGGTCCCTTATATATATTTTTTATACAGAAAAAGTTGACAAGCATGTATATAATGTAGTATTTCTAGCTAATAAAATCAAAGAGCGCTCTTCGATTTTGAAACTACAAAAGACAATCCTTCTGGGTACTTTGTTTTCTGGACCACTTTGAGAGAAATGCCAAAAATATAGAAAAAATTGAAGTACTTTTTTCATATGAACAGTGAAAGTACGAATGTTGGGTCACATTTAAGTGCATGAACTGGACATTTTGCTCTTATATTCAGGACCAACTTTAGTAATTGCCATAAACACACCACAAAAATGTGTACTCACGATGATACATGTCACATATACACACATGATGATGATATGTAGACTTATTAAAAAAAAAAATGGTGAAAACCGTATGTGATGTTATATTTAATTTGTGTATGATGTTATATTTTTTATAATATTATTTACACAGATGATGTCACAGATGTCATATATAGTGTTGTTTTTTATAAAATAAATTGTCAATAAAATAGTACTAAACATAATTAATCCTAACACTATATTTAATTAGAAATAGTTGTTATTTTCACGATTCTCACGTCAAAAGTTTGATTCTGATCATTTTAACTACTATCTATCTATATATATATATATATATCATACATGATTCTCGAACTTGTTTTTATTTGAAACTAAAATTGCATACTTCAAAATATATGAGACATTCTAGTAACTACAGAACTTAAAGATAACATTACTACATGTTGATAAAAATTGACATATATATGGTCCCAATATATAGTTGTCTGTGTCGAGTCAACATCTGAATTCAAGAAATGGGACCTTTTGTTAGCAATCACTTAGTTGTGACAACAAATTTTATTTCGTAGTATAAGTGGACGTGTCAAACTTGTGACAATAAATTTTATAAAAAACATAAAACTTTTCGTACAACATGATGCAGGTACAATATCTATTTGTCTCCTCTGATTCTTCTCTTCTTGGATTGGAATTTAGATCTTCAAGTATGGATTTGGACTTGAATAATAATTGACTCGAGGGCTTGATAGCTTTTTTCCAGATCAAACGTTATGTTGGTTGAACTTCTCAATGAATGCGCCTGAATGTTGCTTGAACGTGATTGATGTTTTTGGATTGATTTGAGACGGGTGGATGTCATCTCTTTACTTCTTGGAGAAGAGCCACCGTCTTTGGATTTTCAAAAGAATTATTGAGCTCTTGAATTTGAGATTTGATTTATGAGGTGTTGATTTTTGAGATGTGATTTGTGATTTTGAGGAGAGCCTATAAATAGGTGTAGGAGAGAGAGTTTTGGAGAAGAAGACTTCAGTTGAATGGTCTTCATGATTTGATATAATCTATTTCCTTATCCTCATAAGATTTGACTGAGTGGGCAAGAAATATTTATTTTATTAATTAAATATCTTATTTGTATTGGATTTGTAAAGACATTAATTAATAAAATATCCAAATTTCGATGTCTACAATAATAAATGGGGAAAATATGTTCATGTGAATACCAATATATCTCCCAATTTTCAAGGCATATTTAAAAAATATATATTTAATTTTTTTAAAAGAATCGTATGTTTGTTTATTTTATAATTTTAATTATCACTCGTGTAATATATGAGTCTCCCTAGATAATCTCTGTTTTGATGAAGGAATATCTATCTAACTCGATCGATTGAGTAATGCCCGCAAGGGAAAGTATACAAGGGAAAGTATACAGAAAAGATAATTCTTCTCTATTATATTAGTAGTATTTTATCTTATATTAGATATTAGATTAGATTGTTAGTAAGTGATTATTTAGATTAGCTAGTGTACTAACTTAAGAGTTAAATAATATTTACTAGTTCCATATGACACTTGTGACCACAAAATATTTGTGTAGGGGCAGGATAAAGATAGTTCAATTTGATTAATAAATGCAATCAAAGCAATCTACCTCTGAAGATAAATTGTGATGTGTGGCAAAAGAGACAATATTTCTGATATTCAACATCAAGATCCTCTGGAGATCATCTGTGGACCATAGCTTATTTTCACCAGCAATTTGGCTCAAATTCAATGAACTTCCACACACTTGTCACCTTATTATTAATGATTGATATTATTTTCATAACTTTATTTAGATATGTATATATATGTCCAACTAAATTATTTTATTTAACGAATATATAAAATAGTATAGTTTTTCTATAAAAGATACACTACAAAAAATTGTTATATTCCAACGGAAAATCCTACTACGATAATATATTCCAACGAAAATATTGCATTGGAACGACTTTTCCATTGGAATTTTAGATGGAATTTGATGATTCCAACGACTAATTTTCTAACGACTTTTGACCGTAGGAATTTCCGTTGAAATTTTTATTTTCACCTCCGTTGGAAAATCTACCGTTGGAATCGTCAAAATTTAACGGAAATTCCAATGGAAAATTCATTCCAATAGAATATTTTTGTTGAAATTTCCGTTGGAATTTCATTAAAATATATTTATATTGGAATTTTTAGTTGAAATTTCATCATTTTATTGTAGTGATATATATTGGTGGTCCAACAATTTCACGTTCCAGATAATAATACTAATACTACTACTGGTGGATATCAGTACTATCGCCCATCAAAGCTTTAATAATTAAAAGAGTGTTTCAATTGGTGGTTATATGAGTGTTTCAATTAAAAGAGTGTTTCAATTGGTGGTTATATTGGGCTTTATGGACGATTTCAATTTCGAATGAGTTTTGTAAGCAATATAAATTACTTTAAAATAAATTAAGAGTGTTACCGCTGGTGGTTATATTGGGCTTTGGATGCCTTCGAGTGTTTTGTAAGCACTATAAATTACTTTAAATATTGTTTAGTTAATTTATAAGTTTTTTTTTTTTTAATTTTTTTTTTTTTTTTTTTTTTTTTTTTTTTTTAAAAAAATTATCATTAAGATTGGAAGAATTAGTTACAAATTATGCAACTATTTGTTTCGTAAATTTGTATCCAATTTGCACGGTTTTTAAATTGATTTGTATTTAGAATTGTTTTCATAAATAATTGACACATTTTTTGCATATGAATCTCTAAATTTGTTATCAAAAAAGATATGATTTAAATTTTTGTAAAAAAAATAAAATATTATACTAAAAAAATGGGATTCAAATTTTGCCATAAGAATCTCCAAATTTGTTACCGAAAAAATAGGATTCAGATTTTGTTTCTAAATATTTACATGTGTTTTTTCAGACTTTCCATTAATAGTAAGTCAAACATTATATTTATTTGGTCAAACTTTCTNCAATTGGTCAAAATTGCCTTATTTATTTATTTTTTTTTTTGGGGGGGAAAAAAAGGACAAGAGGAATAGAGATGATATTGATTAATACACATTGTTTCACTTGAGCATTAATTTTGCTAATTAATAGATTATATTATATGTACCACTAAGAGAATGACTCTAATATACACATGGTACATCGGAGCACAAGTTAATAAGTCCACTAGTTGATATGAAAGAAAATCAATATATCATACACGAGATAAGTATGTGGTTAAAAAAATCAAGAAATGTTATAACACTTGAAAAATGAGCACATTCAAATGTATCTACAGTGGGTAGGTCAGCAGGTCAACATTTTCGTGATGATAGAGCAAAAATATATTAGACATGAATTGCTATGAATAACACACGTTAACAAGTGGTACTTGTGCACAAATATATATAGTATGCTATATTATATGGTCCTCATTGTTGGAGATGTATCCTAACATGAGTTGATTGATGCTCACATCTCTTTCATTTTAATTAATTGATTCAAATATCTCATTTTGTCACACTGATGGGGCCTATGAATCAATGAAATGCATGTGGAGAAAGATTGCTTAATTATATATTCTCAAATCATGATCATAATTCCCTAGCTAATAGATGTAAGAATATTTATCCGATTTAATCATATATCGGTGCAGCGGAATGATCGAGATTACATACCTCCAACCATTGCTTGTGTATGTTTGAGTGCCATTGCTTGTGTATGTTGAGTTATTTGAAGAACTTGTAGAAGACAACGGTGAATGCTTCGGCACGTTCACTTTTACTCGGTTAAGATCTTCTAGGTTCTTTCACTTTCTCTTTAGATGGTGTTAGATTCAGTAATCATAAATTGATGAGCCTAGAGACCTTTTAAAACTGATGGTACCCTGTGGCAGAAAGGTACCTTTTGGCAGTAGACACCTTTTGATAGATACCATTTGGTGAAACGGTGTGATGTATAATTATTAATTTTATTCATCACAAAATTAATATCAACCATCCAAATTGTATGGATTAAGGAGATTAACAGTATTTGTACTTCTTAAGAAATAGAAACATGTGGACCACTTTAAATTATCTTGTTTATACATTATACAAGATAATTGAGAAAATGAAATACTAACAATAGACACATCCCAATTGCAATATCCACCTATCAACGAGCCACGTGTGAAGATCTCTTGAAATTTTAGTTACATACTCACGGTGTATGATATGCTAATATTCTATTACATCAGTTGGTTAGTATATATTCACTCGTATCTAGGACAACAAACGAGTTGAGCACGAATCTTGTCGAGCGCATATCAATTTTCTTTTTTTTTTCATTGCTTGAGTTCGAGTTCGACGAGCTGTGTAGAATGTTGCTCGACTCGAGTCAAGAAAATAATAAGAATGCTCGAGCTCGACTTGACAACATGGCTCGAGTTTAGCTCTAAATTTTAACAACTAAATATTAAATATAAAAGTATTATTTTAGATAATTTTGGCCTTCATGTTCTAATATTGATAATAATAAACTATATAGGGTATTTATGCTAATAAAAAGTCAAGCTGCTTGGCGAGCTTACGAGCCTCTTGAAATGATGCTCGAGGCTCGACTAGTTTGCTCGATTGTACTGCTCGAGCTCGAGTCGAGCATTGACTCAAGCGCTCGTGAGTCGCTCGACTCGTTTGCAGCCCTACTCGTGTTATAATTAATCAGAAAATTAGTTAGTGTCATGCCATAACACACATTGATTTATCTCCTTTCCCATCTACATCACAAGCTCTAGCAAATTGACAATCACTCTATAGAATGCAGAGAAACAAACAAAGCATGCTCCATATGCAAGTTCCATAATTCATTTTTCACCAATACACATCACAACTGGAAATGGGGACCCTTATCAATACAAACATATAGCTAGGCTTCCAATTTCAAAAACAATGGCCACTCCCATTTTAGACCCCACCCCATATACTCTGCACCTCTCTCCACACACACACAAAAACACAAACACTCATATACTTCCCCACATTCCCCTTCAACATTATATTTCCCCCATTTTTCCCAATCAGTAGTTAAAATTTAAATCAAAATTCAACCATAGCTAGCTAGCTAGCTCGATGGACAGAACCGAGCTAGAGACCCGAGACCTGATGAACGTCGACTCCTTCTCTCAACTCCCCTTTCTCCGCCCCACACTATCTCCACCGCCTCTCAAGGGAAAAACGAGCCGAGCCATTAGGCTTTTCGGCCAAGAATTTGGCTTCAACGACAACAACAACAACAACTACCAGTCGAACCTTACCGAAAACATTAGCTGCACACGAGACAATCTCCCGAGCACGGAAACTCTTGAAAACACGGAAAATATATCCAACCGGAAATTCGAGTGCCACTACTGCTGCAGAAACTTCCCTACCTCTCAGGCGCTCGGCGGTCACCAGAACGCGCACAAGAGGGAACGGCAGCAAGCCAAGCGGGCTCACCTTCAGCCCGACGCCTCGCATGTTTACGGCATGATGGGCTACAATCGGGCCGGCCTGCTATCGGGTCCGACACTTCCAGTGGCCCACAGCCCTTGGAGGCTCGCTAACGGGTATGGCTACAGCTCATATAATGCAGCTTCGACCCGTCAGCCGCAGCCCACGAACGGGAGCCCTATTGGCTTACGGAGAATGCCTCAACACGGCCCGTCGCCAGCTCAGCAAATCACGTTTGACGGCCCGAAAGTACCGTTGCCTTCGATTAACGGTGTTATTAGCCCTGCCTATCAAATGCGGTTCGGGTACGAATCAAAGCCCGTCGTGCAAGAACACGTGAGTTTGGATTTACATCTTTGATCGATTTTTTTTTCTCGGGATTTTATCCTATATTCGACGAAGAGCGTTTTGTTGAATACATAAGTGGCTTAGACCATTGAGGCAGTTTAACTGTTACTATGTCTTGATCCATGTTGGGCAAACAGAGGAGCCAACACTTTTGTTACTTGCACTTATTAGTTTTTATTAAACATTACATAAGTTGAATATCTAATTAGACTGTTAATGTTTTCTAATTTGAAGAAAGCAAAATTTAACAGATAACATAATATAAAACATTCCTCACCATTTTGTGGTGTATGTGGGCCTGATCATCACCATTATTAAAGGCTGCAAAGCCACACCCACACACAGAGCATAGATTTTTCTAGGCTATTTGCATTGATTTGTCCCTATCCAACTTCATATGACTGAAAAAAAGTACCTCTAATCTAGTTTTCTTCTTCTTTTTTAAAAAGGAGAATAACTAGAGAGGTGGAAGTTTGGAGTCCACTTACTACTCTCATGTGGTGCTTTCATAGATATATAGAGAAGATTCGACCCTACTGCTAACTACATTACCAGGTTTTTCACACTGCGGGTGAAAATCTAACAATATATAGTAAATATTGAAAGAACCATTTAAAGGGTCCTAACTTCTGATTTCAATTTGTTAGTGCAGTCACTGGTAAGATGAAATCTACCAATATACATTGTAAATATGGAAAGAACAATTACAGGCTTCTAACAATTATTTTGAAAGAATCATTAAAGAGCTCTAACTTCTAATTTCAATGTGTTGGTGCAGTCATTGGTAGGATAAAATCAACC